CCCCACCATAGCTCCACAGCTGGCCGAGGAAGAAATGACCCAGGCGCTGGTACATGAAGGACTGCTGAAGACCATGCTCCTGCTCAGCCCCATGTAGGAGAGGACCCTGTGGTTTCAGAAATCAGGGACTTCACCACAGGCACAGTGAGGCACAGGGAGGAACAGGAGCAACAGCAAAGGTGGCAGGGCCCTCCACCTCCAGCCTGCTGGCCTTCCTCCAACCCTTGGGAGTTGACACTAAGGAGGATCAACTTGTCTCTCGCAAGAAGACCCCTCAGCATGTCTAGCCCCTCCAGATACAAACATGCCTAGCGTTGCTCCACCTAACCTCCATAGATCATAGTGATACATTTGTCCTCCACATTCAATATTCTTAATGTTTGTCTGTGCTCAAAGGATAAAGCTGTCAAAGAGTTATCTAGCAGTGGCTATACCAGGGAGATGCCATATCCTGAGAGGGTCAATGACGTAGAATGGCCAGGGACTAGGCAGCATGGCGCCTGTGTGCAATACATTGCAGTGTCTTGGGGCCAATGTTCCTTCCCTTTAAAAGTCCAGTGGTCAGTATTGACTACAGCCCTCCCTCACAGGTCAGGTCACGTACCGCCACATCCCCCCAGCCTGTGTGTGCTCACAGCCATTTTCTTTCCCATTGAGCCTGTGCACTATCCAGCATGATGGAAGGTGAGTGAGTGCTCCTCAGGCAGATACTTCCAGCCTCAACCTGAATGTACCACCGAGTCCTCAAAAATCCCACCCCATAATCACCACAACATTCACACCTCCCCAAGTCCCCATCCGACCTATCTATATAAGCCTGCACCTGCCCCACCATCCCCACCCAGCTCCAGCATATGAGGTGACCGTTCTAGGTGTTTCCCACTGCCCCACTCTTGAAGCCAGTGCGCTTCTGGCTCTAGATGACAGTGCCCCACAGACTTAACCCCTTTCCTGCCATGTTTTACTGCATCACCTCTCTCCCACAAATTCTGCTGCCCCCTCACAATTTGACTGCATCCTTACCCAAAGCCTGCACTCTCCACCACCATCCTCCTCCCTATTTATCTGAAGGCAGACTTGCACAGGTTCAGTCTGGCATTTCCCTTCACCTCTGCCTCACCCCTCCCTTTGCTTAGTTTAATTGGACAGACCCAACTCCTCAACCAACATGACACAAGCTTCAGGTAAGATGTACCCAGTCCCTTGTCTGGTGCCTATACATCTGTCCAACTGTGTTAGCCCTAGCCCTGAGACTCACTGATACGAAGCCAATGGACTGACCATGACTCACACTCTGAACCGCAAAAACAAGGTCTTTGGTGTTTACTCCCCGAGACTTTAAGACATGGCTGCCTGCTTACTGTGCACACAGTGTGTTTGCTGTGTAAGCTGCTGGCAAACAGGGCAGGCGAGAGATTGATGCAAGCACACTGCTGTACTACAGAATGTCCACTGCCTATACTGAGGATATCCACCAGCAAGGCAAGCTGCCTGATTGTGTGACTTCACTAACAGACACAGCAAGACAAGGCAGGGATGCTGTGAGCAGACAGGGTCCAGGGTGTACTAGCTAGATGGATAGAGAACTGGCTGGGCAACAGGAGACAGAGAGTTGTAGGGGAAGGGAGTTTCTCAAAATGGAGAACTGTGACCAGTGGTGTTCCACAGGGATCCGTGTTGGGACCACTGCTGTTTGTGATATACATAAATGATCTGGAGGAAGGTATAGAGGGTCTGATTAGCAAGTTTGCAGATGACACTAAGATTGGTGGAGTAGCAGATAGTGAAGGGAACTGTCGGAGAATGCAGCAGAATATAGATAGATTGGAGAGTTGGGCGGAGAAATGGCAGATGGAGTTCAATCCAGGCAAATGCGAGGTGACGCATTTTGGAAGAACCAATTCAAGAGCGAACTATGTGGTAAATGGAAAAGCCCTGGGGAAAATTGATGCACAGAGAGATCTGGGTGTTCAGGTCCATTGTACCCTGAAGGTGGCAACGCAGGTCGATAGAGTGGTCAAGAAGGCATACGCCATGCTTTCATTCATCGGACGGGGCATTGAGTACAAGAGTTGGCAGGTCATGTTACAGTTGTATAGGACTTTGGTTCGACCGCATTTGGAATACTGCGTACAGTTCTGGTTGTTATATTACCAAAAGGATGTGGATGTTTGGAGAGGGTGCAGAGGAGGTTCACCAGGATGTTGCCTGGTATGGAGGGCGCTAGTAATGAAGAGAGGTTGAGTAGATTAGGATTATTTACGTCAGAAAGACGAGGTTGAGGGGGGACCTGATTGAGGTCTACAAAATCATGAGAGGTATAAACAGGGTGGATAGCAAGAAGCTTTTTCCCAGAGTGGGGGGCTCAATTACTAGGGGTCATGAGTTCAAGGTGAGAGGAGAAAAGTTTAAGGGAGATAGGTGTGGAAAGTTCTTTATGCAGAGGGTGGTGGGTGCCTGGAACGCGTTGCCGGCGGAGGTGGTAGAGGCAGGCACGATAGCGTCATTTAACATGTATCTAGACAGATACATGAATGGGCAGGGAGCAGAGGGATACAGATCCTTGGAAAATAGGTGACAGGCTTAGATAGAGGATCTGGATCGGCACAGGTTTGGAGGGCCGAAGGTCCTGTTCTTGTGTTGTAATTTTCTTTGTTCTTTGTTCTTTTTCTTTGTAGGCACTAAGTGAGTGAGCAGTAAGACTGCGAGTGAACAGCCCCGAGATGCAGCCTGGTCCAGTCTGTGAGCTTGGTGCCTATCCCTGTGCTGAGTGTCCCTGCTGCAGCCTTGTTGTTGCCAGTGTCTATGGAGGGACAAAAATCAGAAATTGCTGGAAAAACTCAGCAGGTTTGGTAGCATCTGTGGAGAGAAAAAGAGAGCTAAAACTTCAGGTCCAGAGAAAAAGAGAGCTAAAACTTCAGGTCCAGTGACCCTTCTTCGGAACGGCTTTCTCTCCACAGATGCTGCCAGACCTGCTGAGTTTTTCTAGCAATTTCTGATTTTGTTTCAGATTTCCAGTATCCTCAGTTCTTTTTTTTTCCCATGGAGGAAGGGTCTGAGAGGCTGGTGCCCATTGATACCACCCTGAGACCTTGCCACCCAGCAAACAGCATGGAGGTGATCTGGGCAAGCATGGAGCTGAATCCACTGGGCACAAAACCTGGTTTCCCTGGTCACATCTTCCTGACATCTAACTTGTTGGGCAAGTTTGGTAAGATGGAACACCAAAAATTAATGAGGTGACTGTAGCTTTAACAAGTTGTTAAACAAGTGCTAATACTCATCAATTGGCATCTCACCATCACCCAGCGAGAATCTCTCCATACCTCTTGTGAAAAGCAGAAAAGGTCAAATGAAATGATCTCACACGGAGATGGGTTTTGCAGCACTTGATGTACAATTCTGCCACACATCTTGCCATAGCCTATGTCACCCTGTAAAACTGTGTCCTATATGTACACTGGTGACATCCAGTTCAGCCTCACTGTCTCTGCCCTCCATCTTTCCACTGCCCCTATGTCGTTAAGCTGCATATTGGACATCAGGTCTTGGATAAGGTGCAATCTACCACATATTTCTTTTGCCAAGCTTTTGGTCATCTATACTAATGTCTTTCTTTGACGTGGTGCTGCCATTTATGTAATACAAAAACGTAAGATATTTCACAGGTAAACTATGTTACAGATATTATGAGTTATTAAGAAATCCAACAACTATAAACTCTTATAGATATTGCTATAGGATAAAGTGGTAACCCAGCACCAACTGCAAGAATCCCATAGGCAACAAGTAACAGTTGGTTTGGAAAGAAATAGGGCAATCAGAAAATCACAAGCAGCATTCAAATAAAACCAGTTACTAATCCGTGCTGCACACTTTGTGCACAGTTCTGAAGCACGGCTTCCAACAACAAATGCAGAATAATTTTCTACACTATGTAAAGATCATTTACTCTGTTTGCTGAAGAATAGATCAATTGAGATAAAACGGCTTGTGAATTCTAAAGTAGTTGTCATGGTAACTCACATTTGTTTCTGACATGTCATGCTCTGGGTAACTGTGGTTTGAAGACAAGCCCAATTGTTTGCAATAATGCCACACATATTACAGGTTCAAGAAACTAAACTGCCTTCACCGATACTCGGCATTAAGCCACTTCATGGCACTCCTGAAATACAGTCAGTTTCCTTATATGAGAAATCTATCAAAATCATTGGCCACACAGATTGTGGGTTAAGAGAGTTTAAACTCGCTTACAAAATTATTTCAATAGCAAGACACAATTTCAAAGTACATAGATGATTCAATTATGTATTGATCCACAGTTCAGCATGCTTGAAATAAAGTTTAACAGAACATAATGCTTTTCTAAGATAAAAATTCCTTTAAAAAATTGTATGACAGCAAAAATCAGTGGCTATGATTGTACTACATACTCCCTCACTGTGTTTTGGATTTCCATTTAATAATCGACTTTACTTGCAGCTCAATGTGAAAGTCTTGTGTTTTGTTTTTCGTGTAAATCATTAACTGATTTCTGCGTTAACGATAACTGCATGTATTGAAGGGTACAGTACAGCAAACTCTATGGAGTGGAAGTGCGTGGCCTGGATAATATTCCAATAGTGTCGATGGGAAATCCTGGAAACTTTCAGTAAAATCTCTTTACAAAGTGGCCGTCAAAGCTTTCAATAAGACCGATCAGCATATTATTTGAAAATATTTCCTACTCCCTCCTCCCCGCTAGGATTCACCAGATCTGCCAACGAACAAACCAAAAAAAAGTCAATGCTGCATAGTTGAATGTTCTAAGCCGCTGATTTTTAAAATCTGAAAGTCCTTTATTCTTAAATCCCACTGGTTATTAAACAGTCTACTTAGTTCTTATTATGGTCACACCTTTAAAAGGTAGATAAGCAGCCAATGGTTGCCCTTAATTTCCTATTAATCCAAATACAGACTAGAGTTCTAATTTGAAATAAATTCCAAACCAAGATCACCTTAATTGTAAAGTTAGTAGAGTTTCAGACAATCCTCTGGTGCCCAGTTTTAGGGATTTCGTGAGGTATTGAGAAGTTGTTGAAGATTAACGTACCAACCACTTGACTATAAACTGCACCACCTGGTTTCACTGCGAGAGTACTAACATGCTCTGCCTTCTTGTCATTTCCGGGGCATTTCATTGTTCTCGTTCCCCAGAGGCTGTGACTGGGTACGAGAGAGGGAGCGATAGGATCAGAACTGGCTTTACGTAATCACGGAGGGCCGTGAAATTTGATGTGTTTCACCATGACATCTGCTAAGGGCGACACACCTGAGTTGAAACTTTACACTATTTGGAAAGTCATTTTAACAATTTAATCTAAAAGTTTTGATTCGCTTGTACTTGCTGGCTCGCCGGAAAGAAAATCGCACTAAAAGCAGATCTTCACTAGACACTAACTCATGTCAACTCCCGCATATTTCTTGGGGATAATGAAAATTAGACAAATAGATGGTAGTTTAGACAGGACAGTATAAAGAACTGCATGCAAATTATAGAAACTAGCTCGCGCACAAATAAGTTTTCAAAACAAGTCAACCATACAATACTTTGTATTAGTAACTAGTTTGTTGCTGTAAACGGTAATTCATGGTTTATTCCCCATCAAACATGTTTTTAAGCTTTCATTTTTTTTTCATTTTCTCACTGAACAGGGATCCATTCTAACACCCACTCCCACTCCTCAGATAACTGCACATTTAATTTTTCTGGATTTTTTCTCTCCTTCTGCCCTGGGTCTAATAAACAAGAAAGACACATCATTTCATAGCTTCTCAATTAATGCTAGCTTGAGCAGTAACAATGCAGAGAACTGAGGGAGAGGAAAAGAGATGTTGTTCTGCGTTTTTATTGTACTTATTTGAATTTTAATAGAAAGTAATGAGACAAATTGAAATTTTACATCCAAAATTAACCTGTGTGAGCTGAGTAGTTTAAAGGAGCAACTTTCTTTAATTGGTGATTCTTGCTTTCTGAGCTAAATTGTTACTCTGAAATCACACAACATTGACTGATAGGGAGTTCTGTATTGTTTCATTTGTTGTTCTTAGACTTTGATATTAATTTGAGGCCCAAACACAGGTTCAGATGAAGTTTAAAGGTTCAGTAGCACAACTTAAAGAAGATTTTGGCAATCCTCCCTCATTCACTTTGTTTCTGATTCTGAGATCTGACAGTGTGCAAAATGGCAGCTATATTTGCCTCCATCGCTGCATTCGGTACACGAAGTGGCATGGAGTTTCTGGCTAATGTAACAAGTAGCTGGTTAAAACATCTTTATTTTTGCAACTGTTGACTCACCAATGAAACTTCACTTTGTATCATCTTGCTGCTCTGCCTACTAATAGTAGATATTCAAAACTACAATTAAAGGAATAATTCTTGAAGGTAGACCTAGCTATCATTTAAAAATCACTTAATTCCAAAGTGCAGCTTCTAACTATTCAAATTAATACACTGAAATAGTAATATTTCTGTGCTATTATAGGCAATAACCATTTTGCAAAATTGAAATATTTTTAATTTCCAATTCACTGAAATCCAACTGATCCATTAATTTTCAGCCATCATGATTGCTGGTCAACACATGATAGTACTCAATGACAGGGCAGAATCTCTTGTTTGTTACTTCAGGATTATCATTTACATGGGACAGCACTATAACCATACAACTATTACAAGAGTTCTGAAGAAGAGTCATTCTGGACTGTAAACATTAACTCTGTTTCTCTCTCTACAGATTCTGCCAGACTTACTGAGTTATAGAGTTATGGAGATGTACAGCACGGAAACAGAACCTTTGGTCCAACTCGTCAATGCTGACCGGATATCCAATATAAATCCAGCCCCATTTGCCAGTATTTGACCCATATCCCTCAAAATCCCTCCTATTCATATACCTATCCAGATGCCTTTTAAATGTTTTAATCATACCTGTCTCCACCATTTCCTCTGGCAGCTCATTCCATACACGCACCACCCTCTGTGTGAAAAAGTTGTCCCTTTGGGCCCTTTTAAATGTTTCCCTCTCACCTTAAACCAATGCCCTATAGTTTTGGACTCTTCCACTCCAGGCAAAAGACCTTGGCTATTTACCCTATCCATGCCCCTCATGATTTTATAAACCTCCATAAGGTCACCCCTCAGCTTCCAATGCTCCAGGGAAAATAGCCCAGCCTATTCAGCCTCTCCCTACAGCTCAAAACCTCCAACCCTGGCAACACCCTCATAAATCTTTTCTGAACCCTTTCTAGTTTCACAACATTCCTTCTTAAAGCAGGGAGACCAGAAATGCATGCAATACTCCAAAAGTGGCCTAACCAATGTCCTGTACAGATGTAACGTGACCTTCCAACTCCTATACTCAATGCACTGACCAGTAAAGGCAAGCATGTCAAATGCCTTCTTCACTATCCTGTCTACTTGCGACTCCACTTTCAAGGAACTATAAACCTGCACTCCACGGTCTCTTTGTTCAGCAACTCTCCCCAGAACCTTACCACTAAGTGTATAAGTCATTGAAACTGCCAATTCAGTTTTCTGTTTGGATGAAGAAGCTTTTGTTGCACAGATGCTGTTGGAGTGGAATTTGTCATGAATTAGGATGCAAGCAGCAGAGCTTGAATAATGTTTAAAGAGTGTCCTAATCTGCCTTTCCAAAATGCAGCACCTCACATTTATATAAATCTGCCACTCCTCAGCCCATTCGCCCATCTGATCAAGATCCCATTGTACTCTGAGATAACCTTCTTCACTGTCGACTCTACCTCTAATTCTGGCGTCATCTGCAAACTTACTAACCATACCTCCTATGTTCACATTCAAAACATTTATATAAATGACGAAAAGCAGTGGACCCAGCACTGATCCTTGTGGCACACCGCTGGTCACAGCATCCAGTCTGAAAAACAACCTTCCACCACTGCCTTCTACTTTCAAGCCAGTTTTGTATCCAAATGATGAGTTCTCCTTGTGTTCCATGTGATCTAACCTTGCTAACTAGTCTACAATAAGGAATCTTGTTGAACATCTTACTAAAGTCCATATAGATCATATCCACCATTCTGCCCTCACTACTTCATTACTTCATTACTTCTTCAAAAATCTCAATCAAGTTAGAGAGACACGATTTCCCATATTCAGCATTTTCTGTGTTTGTTTCAGCATTACAACCAATCTGAAATGAGACACAGCATTAATCTTTCAGTGTGCATACCTTTTTTGTCCACCTATAGACGTGACCAAATTAAAGCTCTTCTGGTTAGCCTCCCATTTCCACACTCTTTAAACTTTATTCAAACTCTTTTGTCTACATCACAAGTCACGACAAATTCCACTCCAAACAGCATCTATGCAACAAAAGCTTCTTCATCCTAAAAGAGAACTGAATTGGCAATTTCATTGACTTGGTTTCCAGCTTAACAATGCAAACATTCTCAAATGTCTGATTCTAATTAACCCAGTCCTTGGCTGTGGACATTTTTAATCCTTCCGGATCCTCGAATGTGGATTCTGTTGATTCTCACTATCACCTGGGGTGGATCTTAATATAAGTTATATAGGAGACCTGTTTTGATTGCTGAGCAAGCTTTACATTTTCACAGACTGAATTTATCAATTAAGCCCACAATCACAACCATACATTTGAATCAAGTGGTGAGCCATTACTACTGCTGAACAACTCGCTGAGTGTGCTTCTCATGTACACAAAAACAATATCCTGCTTACAAATAAGGTTGCAAAACTCAAGTTTCTTTCTGACGTTTTGTAGCTATCTTGGGTATTACTGAAAATTGCATCAACTAAGAATACCATATTGCACTGATGATTGGGAGAGATAGTAGGAACTGCAGATGCTGGAGAATCTGAGATAACAAGGTGTAGAGCTGGATGAATACAGCAGGCCAAGCAGCATCTGATAAGATGAACTGGAGTCCATCTTATGTATTCAGATGGACTTTTGGTTGGTAACAAGAAGTTGATTTGTCTATGGACAAGTGACCAGTTATCAATTACAAAGCTCTTTTGTGTGCCAACAGCCGTAAGATTGGTTCTGAAGTAACTGAACAGATTGGGAATGGGAACAACAGAGAAACAATCAGGACTTATACCTGCTTGGAGCTCGCTCTCCTTTTTTCAGCAGTAAGCCATTTTAAAGCTGTAGAAAACCATTTTATCTTTCCTTCACTAATTACTGTCAGCTGTGACTTTTAATTGTTAAGTCAGAGATCTTTTATAAGTGAGCCAACATTCGGAAAAGGAAGGTTGAGAAGAAACATTTTGATCATCAAAAAAAAAACAACAAAACAGATCTTGTGAACAAAGGCTACTGAATTGCTTCCTAGTTTTTCCTCTTTTCATGTGTTTTATTTTCCTGTATTGTGTGAGGTGAAGTTTAAAAGGAAAATAGAGTTTTAATTAGTAGAATTATATGCAGATGGTTCATAATTGTTTACCTGCAGCTAAGTTGATTTAATTACAATAAGTAGTAATTTTTAATAAGTTCAGAAACCTAGTCTTTACTTTTTGTCAACTTGGGTCTGAAAGACTGATAATTTGGATAATTACACATACTTTTAAAAATCTTTAACTTTTATGATGACTCCAGGAATAGTGGGACTTAAAACGCAGCACATTAGCCCAGTGAGGCATGACAAGGTCTAGAGTCCCATCTAGAATTGATTTGAAACAATGATTTTAGTGTGGTATTAGTAATTAAAACAATTGAAGGAAAATATCAGGTTCTGTGCTTTATTTCAGAAATAGCACTAGAAATAGCAAAGTATTTCCTGCAGATGGCAGGGTTGCCCTTGGGAGTCTCAAGGGAAGGGTCCAGACCTGAAACGTCAGCTTTCCTGTTCCTCTGATGCTGCTTGGCCTGCTGTGTTCATCCAGCTCTACACCTTGTTATCTCAACTTTCAAACACTGGTTGATTAACTTAGCTGGTAAGTTGGAGGTAGCATTGCCTGGCAGATCCAGAAAGGCACAGATATAGCATAAGACTTGGGTTTAGAGGAAATAGAAAGGAGCCCAAGTACTTCAGGTAGTGAAATGTTGGACCCAGATGATATTCAATTCTAATTAAGACATCTTGAGCAGAAGGAGAGAATGAAGAAATGAAAATTGGCAGAAAAAGATAAAGAAAGTGAAAT